TGATCCGAATCAAAATCAAGTCTCTCTAAATTCCAACTAATGTAAGTTTGCTAAGCATTTTCAATTTTCAAATGAATGTTCTTGAGAATTGCAAAGACTGACAGCGGTGTAAGGGTTTTTTTTTTTTTTTGCTTTGTTTTCATTTTGTTTTTAAAACTTAATTCTTATTATTGTTTTTGGTAGTACGACAACCTCTCATAGAATAAGGTTTCGAAAGATCTGTGTAGTGCACTCCCTGATTTTGGGGCTAGTATTTACAGCCCTCTAAACTCCAGACTTTATTATTCTATATGAATATTAAAATGCCACCGAGCACCTTCAGCACACGCTGACAGCCTACTTGAGCACCCTCATGGTTGTCAAGGGTGTCGCTAACTTCCGTTTGGCAAAACCCTGTATTTTTAACAAGATCCAAAGTGATTCCAAGACATGGCATGGCCCTATATGCCTATGTCTTGCCCTGGACAAATGTCAAAGGGCTAACATATTTCACTAGGTCCGGACATTTTGGAGATAAGACTACGAAAATACAACAACAATGATATTTAACAACAAGTATATTACTGAGGTATTGTATACTTCTATTAAGAAAAAAACTAAAGGAAAAGCAGAAAAAAAAAAAAAAAAAAAAAAAAAAAATGAAAGAATAAGAACAACAGAAGAAAGTAACATGGAGTCTCATTGTAGAAATTCTTGGGAAATTATTTTTCAACTAGGTTTACAATCCAGTGAAATTATTTCTGGTGACTGGTTTATATATGGGCCCGGATAATGATTTTTTTTTAGTTCTCAAAGGGATTTGGAAGGCACTGGATTGTTTTAACAAAATTGAAGTTTACAATGGAAGAACAATAGAAAAAGTAGCAAGGAGTCTCATTGCAGAAATTCTTAGGAAAATGTTTTTCGATAGGGTTTACGATCCAGTGAAATTTTTGTTGAATGGTTTATATGTGGGCCCGAATAATGATTTTTTGCAAATTTTGCAAATTTTTTAAGCGATTAGGAAGGCAATGGATAGTTTTATAACAATTGTAGTTTACAAAGAAAATTTCATCAACTCTGTTACAGTCTGATGTGTTTTAAATTTGCTCGCAAGTGCACAAATCTATTGATGTATAGAATGTAAAAACGAGGTCGATCCACGAGGATTGATTTAAGACAAATTAAATATAAAATTATTATTTAACTAATTCAATAAAAGATTTGATGATTCAAATAATAAAAATAAAACAATGAAATTGATTTAAAAATAATAGAGAGAAGCCCGTTGATTCCACCACTAACCATCATAACACATATTTCAATTGCAAATTTACCGAGTATTCTATTTAATTTTCACACACTAATATATGATAAGTTCGTGTAAATTCATAGATAGTCTATCCTTGGTTAGGCATAAATAATTATAATTTATTACCTTTTTTCTTAACTAGACCTATACAGATTACTAGTTCGTGGTAAGACACAAGCAATCTTTATGTCAACGTTAAAACACAATCAATCTTAGTCTATAGTCAATAATTGAACTGAAACATGCATTTAAGATAGAGAAAAAGATAAGTTCATCAAATATATATTCCATAAATTTAACAATTGAAATCAATAGAGTTACAATGGTTAGGGCTTCCTCTCAGCCTTGGCTGAGAGATTAGAAACCCATGAAAAATAAAAAGATTACAACCAAACTCAGAATCATAATGTCTTCGATGGATTTTCTGAAACTTGCATGAGCCTTCTGTTCCTTAGCCACCAATCTCAGCTGCTCATACTTGCTCTTATATAGAGATCATCTGGGATTTTCATAGATAAAAACAAATATCTGCCAAATCTTCTTTCCATAATTGCAAAGATCTACCAAATCTTCTTTCATTAATTGCTGTAACTTGGAGCCCAATTTTGACTGATTTGGAATGTGATTTACAAAATATTCGTGAAATACAAATATCTTGGACATTCAATTATCTTTCCACAGCCACGGATTTCATGTCATTCCAATGTCTGAATCAAAATATATGGTCAAATTACCAAAACTGGTACAATTTTTGCGCAGAATATTGGGTCCATTTTGACACGCGATTTTCACCTCCTAAACATTAGAATTAGGGCTTCTTCATTTACCAATATAACCCTCTATTCTATTAATTAAACAGCTGAGATTTATGGCCTAAATAGTATGTGCAGAAAAGTCTTGGGCTTCTTTAGTTGATAGATTTAGGCTATTTTTTTTCACAAAAATCATTTATGACCTAGAAAAACACAAATACACTAGAATTAAATAAAATAATACAAAATAAACAACTAACAAATATAATTTTGGAGGTTAATTATGTATAAATTATGCACTGATCAGTCCTCGAGGAGTCGAGGAGTCGGGGGACGTGAGACTATGCTGGCCGAAATAAAAGTAAATGGATAAATTTTATAGATTAAAAAGTTACATTGAGGGTATTATAGAATTTGTTCATCTGACAGTAATGGGAAGGCCCTGATAAGGGGGAATGAGCAAAATCATGAGGCAAAAACTAATGTTTTGAACGGCAATTGCTTCCTCTTATTTGAAAGGAGGGTGAAAGAAATATTACCGACTTGCCACATCCATGAAGACCTGCAAACACTATGGGTCTTTATGAAGAACGCTCCATTGTTTCTTGGGATAGCTGAACGTTACGATTTAATTCGTAAATTTGCAGATTTTCGATGCGACATAAACCTATTCGTGTATTTAGTTGATGTTTTCCTCAACCCTCCCATAGTGATGGATAATTGACATTTCAGAGTTCAAACAGAAACCCATATCCACTGTATAGGCAATTGTTTTGATCCCAATCAAAATCAAGTCTCCCTAAACTTCAACCAATATAAGTTTACCAAGACAATTTTTTATTTTCACAGGAAAGCTCTTAAGTATTGCAAAGACCATCAATGGTGTAATGCTTTTTTTTTTTTTTTCTTTTTCTTTTTTGAAACCTAAATCTAAATATTATTTTTGACAATACGGCAACCCCTCAAACAAGAAGATCTAAATATTATTTTTGACAAAACGGCAACCCCTCAAACAAGAAGGTTTCAGAAGATCTGTTTAATGCCTTCCCTGATTTTGGGGCTAGCGTTTACAGCACACCAAACTACAAACTTTATTTTTTCTACAAACTTTATTTTTTCTACATAATTATGAAAATGCCACTGAGCACCCTCCTAGCACACTGACAGCCCACCCTCATGGCTTGATTATGGCAAAGTGTACATTGCTTGTATGCAATGAGTGTCTAAGTCACTTGTACGAAATTGTGTCCTTTGTATTTTGTTCAATAAGATCAAAGGATGGGACTTTGTCTAGTAACTCTGTGTGCCTATATTTATGTGTGTATTGTGTGTGTGTGTTGTTGGCTGAGACTTAGTGGCCCCAAGTGTCATTACAGAGAGAAAAATTTTCAGAGAAATTCGTTCCTATAACAATTGGTATCAGAGCCCCGTTCTACGATGGTTGGAGGCAATACTAGAGAAAGAGTTTCCTGATTGGAGAGTTTTGTGGCTTTCAAAATTACATAACCAAGCCCCCTGCATCCCAATGCATAGTTTATAATGATTTTATGACACTCTATAATGTACACTCCGTCATAACCACGCCCCAATATCCCAATATATAAGCACTCTACAAAACGGCACATATATAGTTTATAACGTTTTTAAGTATGATTTTATGACTACACATAAAATACATATAGTTTTATGCTACATTCGGTAGGAAGGAAAAAAATTAAATAGAAGAGAGAGAAGAAGGGATGACTAAGGCATCCTAGGGAAGAGATTAAATGTTTCCCTCTTTTTATTCGGCTGAATGGAATAAAATGGAAAAAATTGACAATTTGATTTGATTTGTAGGATAAAACGAAAGATAATGTTTTAAGTTATTTTTACTATTAAACCCATCACTTACTTTACTTATGAGATTTATTAAATATTTATGAACGATTATGTAGTAATTTAAAACTTCTATAATGGGTTCACTTGTCTTCTCTCCTATCTTCCGCCTATATCTGGGCGGATGAAAATTTGTGAAGGATGAAGAATAACTCATCCTTCCTTATCTTTTCTTTCCTAATATCTTTTCTACCGAATAAAGAAAATTTGTTCTTTCCTTCCTACTTTCCTTCCACCTCCTCTTCTTTTCTTCTTATAAACAATAATATAATTAAACATATAACTTACAATTATAAATGTATAAATAACTAAAGACCCATGGGCCTCTAGTAATCTTTTAAGGCCTACTCCTAAATAATTGAAGACCAATTCAACGGCCAAGTGACTTAAGCCCAATTCACCTCTTCTAAATAAATAAATTAATTAATTAATAATTAAAACAACTAGAATCAGTCTCTGACTTTGACACCATAAATTTTAAAATTATCCTCAAAACCCAATGTATTTGTAATTATCCCTTTTAACTTTTGTTATATTACTTTACGATTTTGTAATGCATTATTGTTTTGGCTTATTATGTAAACAAAAAAGATGCGACAATATCCTGGGAAAAAAAAGAAAATATTATAATAAATTTAATGAAATAGTTTTGCTTTATTTTCCTTGCTAACTCATCCAAACTCCAAAGAAAAGCAGTAATTTGTTTTCTTTCATACTTAATTTTTCAAAAGTCATCCTACCTCTAATCTTCTTGATCATGTATTTAGGTTAATTTTTATTCACTAAGGTCCTTGTAACTTAATAATATTTCATTTATACTTTTCAAAGTAGATGGCGGAAAGGCCACATTTCATTCATATCCTTCTGCCCTCTCCACCACATAATACACAAACAAATTTAATGGCACTGAGCAATCCCCTATGGACCCTGCAGTTCCCCCATACAAAACTCTCTCTCTCTCTCTCTCTCTCTCTCTCTCTCTCTCTCTCTCACCAATTTCATGCATTCACATTAATTCAGATTTTTTTTGCCTACTAAGTAGATGTATATTCCAAATAAATACACAAATAATTCATCTATTACCAACCAATTCCATTCGTTAATTCACATAAATAAATAACATATTTACAAATTACAAAAGGAGGCAACAACCCAAATAAAGTAACAGATACATATGGTACTGCTGCAATATTTTCCAATCAAAAACACCAACAATAGTTTTTTCTCCTTATCTTTCAATAATTTCTCATCCTCGTCATCTTCTATATATTACAATCTATGTACATTAGCAACCAAAAAAACAAAAAGAAAAAAAAGAAACAACGTCTAAAAATAAAAATTAAAAAAAAAAAAAGAAAAAGAAAAAGAAAGTAAGTAATTAATCAACCACATGAAATCTTTCAGTGCCTGAAGCACCAAGAATTGTGGTGCTGAAGAAGGTGGTGGTTGTGGTGGTGGTGATGATTTTCCTTGTCAATCAAACCTTGGACGTAGCGAAACTCCTCGAGATGGCAAGGAATGTTGATGGTGCCTTTCTGATCAAACCCATACTCTTCCTCAGCTTCCTTCAACAACTGCATGAAGAGTGGATGATTGATATAGCCCACAGGGATGATGATCCTCTGCTGCTCCTCTCCTTGACCCACCATGATCGCCACACACCCTTTTGGGATATCTTGATGATGATCATGATTATTATTATCATTAGGATGATGACGATGAAAATTCGGAAGATGAGACTCCCTCCTACTACTCATCATCCTCTCAAGAACAACCCAAAATCTCTTTATTTTTTTTTAAAAAAGAAAAGAAAAAACTATATACCCACCTAGCTAGATTTCTAAACCTAAAAGGTGAATTATTAAGAGAAAAGAGAAAAAAGCCAAGGATATGAAGCCGATATGGCTAGTTTGAAGAGGGTGAAGGAAGAATCTGTTAATGATCTGGGTAGGTTGCTCATTATAGATGATGGTTTATCCAAAAATAAGGGCACATATAGATATGAACTTGATGCATATGAATAACTGGGTATATCTATATATAGGGTGTGTCTATATAAGTTTTGGTATGTAAGGGATGTATATATATATATATATTATATATAGGATTTTTCTTCATTTAGACGCTAAGGCACGCGGTACAGACGGAACAGCTGAAACCGCAATAACTTAATTTGGTTGATAATTGGCATATGAAAGAGTGTGTAACTGGACAGGTCACGAGGCCTTTTCCAGTCAAATGTTTCAGCCACACATATTTGATATCACCATGAGGACGCCTTATCCATTGATGTTACATACCATATGACGTACACACGAGCAAGGCAAATCAAATTGAGATACTAAAGTCACAAAGAGTGTCGGTACAAGTTTTGTTTGTGATATTTTTGTTTTTATCCATACTGTGAATGTAAGAAAATTATACATTCCATAGAGTTAAGAATGTTAAATAACAAAATTTTAAATTTTAAAATTTATTTTTTAATTTGATTGAATTAAATAAAATAATTATATATACATCAAAATTTTTTGTTAAGGTCTAAAATATCCTCTTCTAAAATACCAAAATATTATTTTTAAAATTTCCAAAATACGATAATAGATAATTGAGAACAAATTTCAACTAGCATATACTAATAAATTGGCTAGTGCAAACCATCATCCATGATCGCCTCGTCGTGGCTGCGGCGGTGCTCAAATCCATCCCCAAATGTCCCTGGCACAACAACTACCACCGATTAGAATTGTTCTACTTCAAAATTTCAATTCTTTTCTCATGTTTTCTCAGGATCACAACGAATCAATGCTCCAGTGAATTCCTCATCAACTTACAAATTACACAAAGATAGTAACATCAAAATAAAACCTTTGTTTGAATGCAAATTATTGCAGAGAAAATATCTTCCCGATGTATTAGAATGAAACTGCATAGCACTTGTAATCATCTTGCTCCAGAAGCTTGCTCCTTGCCATACCTCCATCAGTGATTACTATGTTTATTAGTAATTAGTTTTTACGGAGTATTACTGTGTGTTTTGTATGAAAACCACCCACCACTGTCACATATTCAATTCGTTATTTTAGCTATAGAATCTCAATCATTAAGGTGCCGTTTGGGAGAGCTTTCTCATATTAAAAGTCCTTCATTGATAAGGCTTTTGTGAAAGGAATTTTGTTTGAAGGAATTCATAAGAAAAAGAAGTTTGGTGGCCACATTTCTTAAATTTACTTTAATTTTTAGATTATTTTTTTCTTGACACTAATATCATTTATCCTTAACAATTACTGAAAGTCTCTAATAAAAGGGCGAAGGCGGCAATGGTGGAAAGCAATGGCAATGCTGGTGGTGGTGATGGCAAAAGGCAATTGCGATAGTGGCGGTTGAGGGTAGTGGTGGAAGGTGGCGGTTGAGGATGATGGCGGTGGCGGTTGAATGTCATGATGTCGGCGGTGGCGGCAGTGGTGAAAAGTCACGATTAAGGGTGGCCACGGCGGTGGGTGGTAGTGATGGAAGGTCGCGATGACAATGGTGGTGGTATGTGGTAGTAAAAGGTCACGGTGGCGATAGTGGTGCAAGGTGGTGGTCTTTGGTAGTGGAAGGTCACGGTGGCGGTGGCAATGGTAATAGTAGTGGTGGATGGTCACGATGGTGGTGGGTGGTAGCGGTGACGGAAGGTGATAATGGAAGGTAGTGATGGAATGTGGTGGTGGTTGGTGGCGGTGGTAGTGGAGGGTGATGGTGGAAGATGGCAGTGGCAATGATGGTGGTGGTGGATGGTGATAGTGGAAGGTGACAACAATAATGGTGGTGCTGCTGGAAGATGGTGGTGGCGGAAAGTTGTGATGAAAGGTGGCGGTGGCGGTGGTAGTCGTTGGTAGTGGAAGGTCACGATGGCGGTGGCAATATTAGTAGTAGTGGTGGAAGGTCAAGGTGGTGATGGCTGGTGGCGGTGACGGAAGGTGGTAATGGAAGGTAGTGATTGAATGTAGTGGTTGGTGGCGGTGGTAGTGGAGGGTGATTGTAATATCCTTAATTTTAAAATGATAGTCTAGGTATTTTTATTTATTTGTTTTAATTGTATTTTTAATTAATTAATTGATTATTTGACTAATTACTTGTATGTTTAATTGAATTAGGTATTACTTGATTATTTGATTATGTGTCTATGTATTATTTGTATTTATCTATGTATTAATTGTTTAATTAGATTATGTGCTTAAATGGTGTTTTGATTAATTGTAAATTAAATATTTTCTTTTCTTTTATTATTTTATTTTATTTTTCTTTTATGGTTATGGTTAGTAGTAATGGGCCAACCCATTGGGTCCCATGGACTACTTGAATAAGAGGTTGGATGTGTATGGATTATTACCCATGAATAGTCGTGTATGTATATATATAGATATATATTATATACATATATAAAAAAAAGAAAGTAATTTATTAATTACTTTTATGGTAACTTGGGTAGTAATATTTAATCTGGTGTATATGTTTTATATTTAAATAATAAAAATATACATAGATTTGATACGTGTTATGTTTTAAGTTACTTTATAATATTATGGTAACTTAAGTATTATTGGATAATCCATTAATAAATAATGGAATGTGTATAATTTATTTATTTAATAAATATATACATAAATTATATACGTAACATATTTTACTTACCTTTTTAATATATAAAAAAAGGAAAATAATTTATTAATTACTTTTATGGTAACTTGGGTAGTAATATTTAATCTGATGTATATGTTTTATATTTAAATAATAAAAATATACATAGATTTTATACGTGTAATGTTTTAAGTTACTTTATAATATTATGGTAATTTATTAATTACTTTTATGGTAACTTGGGTAGTAATATTTAATCTGATGTATATGTTTTATATTTAAATAATAAAAATATACATAGATTTTATACCTTTTTACTTACCTTTTTAATATTTTAATATATATTTTTTTTTAAGTTGACTTGGATTGAGAAAAGGGTTAGGGTTATTTTATTTAGCCTATAAATATATAGCTATAGGTTGTAAAAGGGGGTTAGAAATATTCACGTGATATATTCTAGAGATAGAGAGAGAGTTAGAGAGGGAAGGAGGAAAAGGAAGGAAGGAGGAAAAAAACCCTGTAGAAAGAAGATTAAGGAAGAAGAAGTTTAACTTTCGATCTGAAAGTTTAAGGCAAGTTCTTCTTCTATCTCTTTCCCTTTGATTCGTGTTTCTATGCATGCCTAGGAAATTCCAGGATTTGTTAAACACATAAAATAAAATAATTATGCATGTTTAATTGGATTAGAACATATGTTTTATGAAATTGGTTCATATCTGTTCTTGTGTTATGAATTAATAAATGCATGATTTTGATTTGATTTCCGGTGTGAATTTTTATATGTTTACATTATGTATTTTTCATATCTGTGGAATGATGGAACGTAAAAACATGCTTAGGATTCCTGAACATTAAATAGGAACTAGGTTTAGGTTTAAATAAATTTAAATAGACTCAATCATAATGATGCTTGCTATTTGAATGTTTTAAACAAACGAATGGATTTAATTTTTTAAAATGTTTTAGCAATTAAGATTAAATGTGTAGGATGAATTGGATATGGAGAATACTTATTTGACGGTATAATAAAATATCATCATATATAAGATTCAGTTTGTATAGGACATATGATATAGGAAGCTTAAATAAATAATAAGTCATTCCTATTTTGTGATAATTTGATATCATATTATCATAGTTATTTCTGGATTGTTTGATGTATTTCCTTAATCGTTACATCAATTGTTGGATTGTGTGATTTGATGCACCAGTATGGGACGGTGGCATTTTAGGGACGGATTAACTTATCAGTTAAGTCCTACCTATTTTATATAAGGGAATGAATTAACTAAAATGTTAAGTCCTACTTATATTCAAGTCAGGTCAGCTGAACAAGTTGAATGACTTACGAATGATTAATTTATCATATAAGGGAATGGATTAACTAAAATGTTAAGTCCTACTTATATTCAAGTCAGGTCAGCTGAACAAGTTAAATGACTTATGGATGATTAATTTATACTAGATATGATGGTTACTAGATTATATATATATAAGTATGGTGCCATGATATGAGCTTGAGTCTCAGGATCAGTGGTTAGGGCGCGTATATCGCTAGGGCTGTGTAGCTAGATATAATGTAGTTGTGTACCCTGGTAGGTCTAGGTACTCATGCCTACTATATGTGCGTTTTGCATGTTGCCTACTATTCAGGTTGAGACAACCCTATAGTCTAGTGAGGTTCCTTTAGTGTGTATTTATATATATACGGACTACTAGTTATTTTTTGGATTGACTAGGATGTATACGTGTAACGAATCTCTGTTTCAACTGTAATAGAATAGAACTTATTTGTGGGCCTGACCCACCATTATTTTTCAGGTGTTCATCAGGAGTAGAGGTTGTTCGTGCTGAGCAGGGATCAGTCTACTTCACTCTTCCGGATTTTCTACATAGGAGTTTCTTTTACGTTTCAGTTTTCTGATGTAGATAGTTATTGTTGTCACTTGTTCAGATGGGATTATTTAGGGGTCTACATGGTATGGATTCCCGAGTTGTATATTTTTGGAGGATCAGTTGTATCAGAAGAGTTTATTAATTAATAAAAATTTATTCTGAAGTTTTATTATTGAATTATCATTTAGTTTCTTTTCAGCATTTTATTTATTCTTCTTTATTCTTTTGTACTCTGTGTTCGTTTATTATCAATTTGTTTTGATATCCTCGGGTATTCGGGCGTAGCCCTGACCAACCCGCATTCGAAAATTCGGGGGTATCACAGTTGGTATCAGAGCACTCCAGGTTCAAGTGTCCTTAGGAGTGTCTTTCGTTATGTGACTTCCGCGTTGCGTCTCTTAAAACTAAAAGCCGTATTAGGATTCGTTGTACTCAATTTAACGGTTCGTTAGGAGGAGCTGATGTCAATTGTATTCTATAGTCATAGAATGGTTGGCACTAGGAAAATGATGGGTTCAAGGCGAAAGCAATAAAGACCCAAAGGAGTAAAGGAGTACGTTATCGATTTCGTTGCCAAAGACAGAGTTAGGGATCGATGGTTTAGGCTCATTTGGCGTTACTTTAAAAGTATAAGCTAATGAAGGATTTAGGTGTACGTGATAGGTCACCGTATATCGGGGCCAACA